AATATATTAGCGGTTGAGTAGGGATTCTTTGGGTGTTCAATTTTTCTTCTAGTCCGATTCATGTTAAATTTCTTTATTTACAGTTACGTTTGATTATGATAAACCAAAAATGTAGTAATAAATTCGAAGTTCAAGAAATAAAGATAACTGACACGAGCACCACTCAATATGGTAAATGCAACAAAAATTTTTTAAATCGTGAATAACAGTAAATAGCAATGCAAAAAATTTACAACACTTTTTCAATGTTACAACAAAACTTTATAGACAATGTACGTTAATTACGCGTACTCGTTCTCGTATTCGTACAACAGAAATTATTTTCAAATAATTCCTTATGCAAATCATGCAAAATTGTTATATTATTCTGTTTAATGAATAATTATTATTTAGACATATTGAATTAATTGCTGCAAGTTAATTGCTAGACTCATTAAATTTGATGAATGTTACCAATATATGAATGAGCTACAATTCAGTTTGAGCAATGAAGCGTAAAACGAAACATTGGACCACTAATTTTAAACAGCAAAAAACACAAGTGCAAAAAAAAGATTTAATGAAATAAGTGTTATTTAACACTTACTTTGTGCTCAATGGTCGTTTGTAGATTCTTATCCAAATGCACCTTTATAATTTGGGTGCCATCCAATTTGGCACAAATACGTTTGCCTACGATCTCTGCTGGAAACACTAAATCTTCTCATAATAAGAATTGTTTGTAAAATATTGAAAAATATAAGTAATGATTTTTCGTTGGAGTATTAGAATAAATATAAGTAAAATATACATCCAACCATAAAGTGGATAAAAAAAAAACAAGTTATTTCCTATATTTGATGAAATAAATTAAAAATAAAACTACTGCAATAAAAATGAGAAAACGAGTTTCTATTTTAAAGTTTGCAGAAAATGATGGAAAAATCACACTTTTAATCATCATTACAAGTAATTTATACTTCTAGATCAGTAGAAATAAATAGAAATATCAAGTGAATTATTTTATTAGTTTAGGTTTTAATTAGACGGTATTTTAATTAAAAATAAAAATAAAATCGCTTATTGTGTATAAATTCTATAATCCCGAAAATGGTACTTACCAAGCCATCGCTGCCATTTACTTCGATAGCTGTTTTAAGCCTCTGCGATAATTGTTCTAATAATCTATCGTATTTTATATTTAGTGCATCGAGTCTATGGCTATAATACTGTGTTGCTCCTGGGTCACTGTCTGGTGGACGTAAGTCTCGTCGTGGTGGTGAGAAAGATGGACGTGCCTCTATAAGCCAATCCACAAAGCGTAGACATTTGGCGTCGTAAATCTTGATAATTGTTCAATTCTTCGCCAGAAAATTTCATTTGGTGCCGCTCGTCATTTACAATTTTAGAGTGAAATTTATCGATAATTTTGTGTTCATGTTGTTGACTATCCAATTCTTCTTTAACAGATGATAAATCTGATCCATAGTCGGCTGCAAGTATTTGTTTCTAAACGAGAAAATATGTCAAATTCATATATAAAAAAAAGTTTTATTATACTGATTATAAGTAAGTGAGTAAACTTTTATGACAAAGAAACAGAATCGGTCAGACCAATGTTTTATTATTCTTCCCTTATTATTGCTATTTTATTTTTATATAAATATTTGGAATATTAGATATTATAAGAATATGTAATTGTATAAGAAAAATAATTTTAAATGCATTAGTGGAACTTAATTTTCCAATAAAAAAAAAAATAAAATAAAATCAATTAAATATTTCCTACTTCACTATATTTCATTTAAGAAGTTTTAAAACTCCATTGCACAAATTAAAAAATTTTTCATTTTTATTAAGGAGTGAAAAAATGCAATATAAAATAAAATAAAGTAACATTAAAAATAATGACAGTCTATCATGTGTTTTCATTGTTGCACAAAATGGGAGCACAAAACAGAAAAAAAAGCAACTGACAAGAAGACCAATGACAAAAAAGAACATTATTGTATGTACCAAAAGCAAAACACGAGAAAAAGAGACGTCACTTTCTTCCAGTGCTCGTTAGAATGGAATAGTCATTCGAATACAGAAACACCAAAAACATATGAAACGAATTGATAAAGGAAGCGCGCAAGCAGAACAGGCATAAGCAGCAACCGCATGGAAATATGAGCGACACACAACACACCTTTCTGTACCTTGTTTTTGTGTACAATTTGTTTTGTGCACAATCAACGTAAAATCTGCATAACAAAGAAAGACAGTAAAATATTTCCACATTCTTGAGTTTTGTCTTCAACTCCGTACTCTTTTTAATTTACTCTTTTGCGTACAAGCAGTGCGAGAATAGACAAGAAATTTGTGTGTTCTGCTATATATAATAAAATCACAAAATTTTAATTTTATTTTGGAATATAAAAACAATAATTATTGTTAAATAAACTCAAATTTATTTATGTTTTAACTATTTATTTTTAAATATTCACACACAATTTTCAATTTTCGCTGAAAATTTTTCCGTACACTACAGATCGCGACCGTATTGTTCAAACGCTGTAAACGTAATAAAACTGAAACACTGAGAAGTCGTGTATATAAATCAGTTTGTGTGGATTGTATTAGCAAACTTGTATGCAATACAATCCACAATGCTCTTCTCACCAATTGTTTAGTATAGTAACTGTATGATTTATATGCGTTCCTTCTCTTTTGAATAACAAACAAAATGTTATGCAGAAGTTTTACAGTTTATAAAACTGCACAATGAATGTGGATTGTGGAAATGCACTTTAATTGATATATTTTTCGGCTTATTAGTTTTTTTAAATATTTAAATTTTATATAACATGTATAAATATAAATTATTTAAATAATTTTTTTTAAATTTTTTTACAATTTTATGAATTAAATCATTTTTAATTGCAGTTTATTAATATACGTAAATAGTAAAACCCGCAAAGCAGGAAAATGAATTTTTACTTAATAAAATTCAATTAACTCAAAAATATATTATATATTAATTATATCAGCAAAACTAATGTAATAATTTAATAAAATTAAAAATTATAGCAATTTACATAGAAAATAACTTTCATATATAGAAAATAATTATTTTAAAGACATTTTTGACACTGATTTAAATGAATTTCTAGAGTATTCCGATGAATTTCGTCGAAATAAAAATTAAATGAACTCATAAAAGAATTTTTTAGCCGGTAAATTTGTGTAATTATTTACTATTATTAATTTATTAAGAAAAAAAAACCTTTTTTTCTGCAAACTTAATCCTTAAATTAATTCGCAAATAATTTTATTATAAAAAAAGAATTCAATGAACCACTAAAAAGGTTTGATTCATGCATCAAATATATATGTATGTACTTTAGATAAAGTTTTTAAAGTCATTCTAAAATCAATTTTTTTTTTTTTTTGCTAAGGAAGCTATGTAAATATTTAATAATATTTTATAGTATATCTAGATATCGTATAGGCTAATGTGCTTCTGATGTCGCAATTTTTGGCTGCACGTTCAAAAATTTTGTTTTACATGCGCAGTTCATTTACATGTACATGCGTACATTTTTAAATGCATTGGATTTCAATAATTTACTGCAGGCTTTTAGTTAACAAAGCATATAAGTTTTGATTTATTTTGTTTGAGGTAGCTCTGAAATTAACAAATAATAATTTAAGATTCAAAATAGTAATTCTTTGAGGAAATTGGCTACTTCTGCTAACAGAAAGGGAAGATAAAAAGAAAATTTGCAAACATCGCTTGCACAACAAATTAAACAAACTAACAAACACACCATATGTGTGTAGTGTGTAGTGCACGGCCTCAAAAACAAATAACTTGACTTCCAAGACGGTGGCCGCCTAAAATATTTATGTTCTACTCTGTGCAAACAAACAACAGCAAAAACGAAAATCGAAAAACTGTATAAAAAAGTTGTTAAATAGAGAAAGAAGAAATAACAGAAACTGAACCGTTTGCTTGCAGTGAGAGAGCAGAGCAAATGATTTTTGATCAAATTCACATACGAATAAGAGTAAAATGACAAGTGCAAAAAACTGCCGCGCAAAATTTATTTGCATAAAATATTTTTTGTTATATATTTGTTAAGGGGCAAACATATATTATAAGCTTATATATATTTAGTTTATTATAATTGTTTAAAAAAAATTTGTAATATAAATTACAATTTTTTTATAAATTAATTTATTAGCGAATATATTGTTTTTCGCTCTTTCTCTATTCCTTCTCTCGTAGTCAGACAACTCTCGCATACACACATCCATTTTCGTTTGGCGCTTCTTGAAATGAAGCAAAGTAAATTTCCAAAGCGAGAATTGAGATTAATATGTCCTCAAGTTTTCCTTTGATTGCAATGCATTCTTCTGTGAAGATTCGGCTAACTTGTTTGCTTTCCTCTAAAAAGTATAATAAAATATTTGAATACGTTTTAAATCTGTAAAATTAAATTTAAGCTAAAATTATTTATTTAGTACCACGAGTTCTACGGCTGGCAAATAATTTCTTCATCACAAACGATACAGAAATAGTTTTAATAAGACACTACTGAAGAGAATACTATTTTCGTACTAAACAAATTTATGTATTCAATCTAACATCAAGTAAAAAATTTACACTTAAATTTAATTGAAATTAAGTTCGTATGACAGTTATTTGATAAAATGTTTTTATAATTGGTGAATATACCGCCTACGAAAAAAATAAAAATAAACTAATTTAATTAAATTAATTTACCTTCAGCTCTAGCGCGTTTTTCAAATTCGTCAAATAAACGATTTACTTCATCCATTTCACGGCGTAAACGTCTTAATTGTGGATCATTTGGATCACCCTCACTTAAAAGTTTATCTGCGTCATCATTGAGTGCACGCCGTATCGCTGTACGCTGTTCTGGACCCACTGCAAGAAATTGGTCACAGAACGATCGAATAACCGTTTAAGTCGTTCAGCTGCATCAATTGCCTCTTGGTCAGGAGGAGGCATTAATAAGCAAGCACTAGGAATTGAACCCTCTTGTCCTATTGAATTACGAATTCTCCATTTAACTCGACTAGAGTTATCGAGCAAGATACAAGTTTCTCCCTTTTCAATTTGTAGTTGACCTTGCTGCTTATAAGCACATATTGCTTGTACAGAGCATTGATTATTTACCGGTTGTCGTCTTTTATATATTGGAACAATTGTTTGAGCCCGATGGGTCAAATTAGCAACAGTTTCACTAAAAGCATTCAATTCTTCACGTAAATCCTGCATACCACGTAATAAAGCTTCACCTTGATCAAGACCAAAATCCGATTGAGAATATTTGCTATTTAAAATGTCATCACGCTTCACGAGTCATTGCTCGGCATCTTTTATTTCAGCAAAAAATTGATGATATTCGGTAGCATGCTTTAAGTGGACTTCAAGACACAGTGTCAACTGAAGCAGCCAAGCCCATTGTTGTTGTAGTACGGCAACCCTCTCAGAGTCCCGGTACAGTTGCTGACAGAAGTCAAAATCAAACCAAGCGAAACAGACTTCGTAAAGTTACTGTGCAGAAACTTAGGTAATGTACGAACTCAACCTGGACTGCGACACGGTCAACAACCAGTCTTAGTACCCAGCGAGCTGTCAGAGAGCAAGTATGTATTCCTACGCATCGATCGCGTTCCGACACCGTTAGAACAACTTTACGAGGGCCCTTATTAGATTATTTATTATTATGAAATTTAAATCAATAAAACAAATCCATAAAGAAAATGTGTGAATTTTATGTTAAATTGAGTGTCAAATTTGATCAAGTGAATATTTTTTTATACAATATTAAATTTAACCGACACGAGCATCACTCAATATGGTAAATGCAACAAAAATTTTTTAAATCGTGAATAACAGTAAATAGCAATGCAAAAAATTTACAATATTTTTTGAATGTTACAACAAAACTTTATAGACAATGTACGGTAATTACGCGTACTCGTTCTCGTATTCGTACAACAGAAATTATTTTCAAATAATTCCTTATGCAAATCATGCAAAATTGTTATATTATTCTGTTTAATCAATTATTATTATTTAGACATATTGAATTAATTGCTGCAAGTTAATTGCTAAACTCATTAAATTTGATGAATGTTACCAATATATGAATGAGCTACAATTCAGTTTGAGCAATGAAGCGTAAAACGAAACATTGGACCACTAATTTTAAACAGCAAAAAACACAAGCGCAAAAAAAGATTTAATGAAATAAGTGTTATTTAACACTTACTTTGTGCTCAATGGTCGTTTGTAGATTCTTATCCAAATGCACCTTTATATATAATTTGGGTGCCATCCAATTTGGCACGAATACGTTTGCCTACGATCTCTGCTGAAAACACTAAATCTTCTAAAATAAAATACACAGCAGTTAAACTACGCGAACGGATTATTGCACCGTCTTGTTTTTACGAAAACTTTGTAGTTACTCGTTCACTATCTAAGTCTTTACGGTGCTGATATAACTCTTCCTCTTCAAGTGGTCCTTGCAAACCCTTATGAAATATATTTCTCATCCACCAGAAACTCCATCTCGAAAATATATTAGCGGTTGAGTAGGGATTCTTTGGGCGTTCAATTTTTCTTCTAGTCCGATTCATGTTAAATTTCTTTATTTACAGTTACGTTTGGTTATGATAAACCAAAAATGTAGTAATAAATTCGAAGTTCAAGAAATGAAGATAACCGACACGAGCACTACTCAATATGGTAAATGCAACAAAAATTTTTTAAATCGTGAATAACAGTAAATAGCAATGCAAAAAATTTACAATATTTTTTCAATGTTACAACAAAACTTTATAGACAATGTACGGTAATTACGCGTACTCGTTCTCGTATTCGTACAACAGAAATTATTTTCAAATAATTCCTTATCCTTATGCAAATGATGCAAAATTGTTATATTATTCTGTTTAATGAATTATTATTATTTAGACATATTGAATTAATTGCTGCAAGTTAATTGCTAGACTCATTAAATTTGATGAATGTTACCAATATATGAATGAGCTACAATTCAGTTTGAGCAATGAAGCGTAAAACGAAACATTGGACCACTAATTTTAAACAGCAAAAAACACAAGTGCAAAAAAGATTTAATGAAATAAGTGTTATTTAACACTTACTTTGTGCTCAATGGTCGTTTGTAGATTCTTATCCAAATGCACCTTTATAATTTGGGTGCCATCCAATTTGGCACAAATACGTTTGCCTACGATCTCTGCTGGAAACACTAAATCTTCTCATAATAAGAATTGTTTGTAAAATATTGAAAAATATAAGTAATGATTTTTCGTTGGAGTATTAGAATAAATATAAGTAAAATATACATCCAACCATAAAGTGGATAAAAAAAAAACAAGTTATTTCCTATATTTGATGAAATAAATTAAAAATAAAACTACTGCAATAAAAATGAGAAAACGAGTTTCTATTTTAAAGTTTGCAGAAAATGATGGAAAAATCACACTTTTAATCATCATTACAAGTAATTTATACTTCTAGATCAGTAGAAATAAATAGAAATATCAAGTGAATTATTTTATTAGTTTAGGTTTTAATTAGACGGTATTTTAATTAAAAATAAAAATAAAATCGCTTATTGTGTATAAATTCTATAATCCCGAAAATGGTACTTACCAAGCCATCGCTGCCATTTACTTCGATAGCTGTTTTAAGCCTCTGCGATAATTGTTCTAATAATCTATCGTATTTTATATTTAGTGCATCGAGTCTATGGCTATAATACTGTGTTGCTCCTGGGTCACTGTCTGGTGGACGTAAGTCTCGTCGTGGTGGTGAGAAAGATGGACGTGCCTCTATAAGCCAATCCACAAAGCGTAGACATTTGGCGTCGTAAATCTTGATAATTGTTCAATTCTTCGCCAGAAAATTTCATTTGGTGCCGCTCGTCATTTACAATTTTAGAGTGAAATTTATCGATAATTTTGTGTTCATGTTGTTGACTATCCAATTCTTCTTTAACAGATGATAAATCTGATCCATAGTCGGCTGCAAGTATTTGTTTCTAAACGAGAAAATATGTCAAATTCATATATAAAAAAAAGTTTTATTATACTGATTATAAGTAAGTGAGTAAACTTTTATGACAAAGAAACAGAATCGGTCAGACCAATGTTTTATTATTCTTCCCTTATTATTGCTATTTTATTTTTATATAAATATTTGGAATATTAGATATTATAAGAATATGTAATTGTATAAGAAAAATAATTTTAAATGCATTAGTGGAACTTAATTTTCCAATAAAAAAAAAAATAAAATAAAATCAATTAAATATTTCCTACTTCACTATATTTCATTTAAGAAGTTTTAAAACTCCATTGCACAAATTAAAAAATTTTTCATTTTTATTAAGGAGTGAAAAAATGCAATATAAAATAAAATAAAGTAACATTAAAAATAATGACAGTCTATCATGTGTTTTCATTGTTGCACAAAATGGGAGCACAAAACAGAAAAAAAAGCAACTGACAAGAAGACCAATGACAAAAAAGAACATTATTGTATGTACCAAAAGCAAAACACGAGAAAAAGAGACGTCACTTTCTTCCAGTGCTCGTTAGAATGGAATAGTCATTCGAATACAGAAACACCAAAAACATATGAAACGAATTGATAAAGGAAGCGCGCAAGCAGAACAGGCATAAGCAGCAACCGCATGGAAATATGAGCGACACACAACACACCTTTCTATACCTTGTTTTTGTGTACAATTTGTTTTGTGCACAATCAACGTAAAATCTGCATAACAAAGAAAGACAGTAAAATATTTCCACATTCTTGAGTTTTGTCTTCAACTCCGTACTCTTTTTAATTTACTCTTTTGCGTACAAGCAGTGCGAGAATAGACAAGAAATTTGTGTGTTCTGCTATATATAATAAAATCACAAAATTTTAATTTTATTTTGGAATATAAAAACAATAATTATTGTTAAATAAACTCAAAAATTTATTTATGTTTTAACTATTTAAATATTTATCACACACAATTTTCAATTTTCGCTGAAAATTTTTCCGCACACTACAGATTGCGACCATATTGTTCAAACGCTGTAAACGTAATAAAACTGAAACACTGTGAAGTCGTGTATATAAATCAGTTTGTGTGATGCAATACAATCCACAATGTCGTATGCTCTTCTCACCAATTGTTTAGTATAGTAACTGTATGATTTGTATGTGTTCCTTCTCTTTCGAATAACAAATAAAATGTTATGCAGAAGTTTTACAGTTTATAAAACTGCACAATGAATGTGGATTGTGGAAATGCACTTTAATTGATATATTTTTCGGCTTATTAGTTTTTTTAAATATTTAAATTTTATATAACATGTATAAATATAAATTATTTAAATAATTTTTTTTAAATTTTTTACAATTTTATGAATTAAATCATTTTTAATTGCAGTTTATTAATATACGTAAATAGTAAAACCCGCAAAGCAGGAAAATTAATTTTTACTTAATAAAATTCAATTAACTCAAAAATATATTATATATTAATTATATATCAGCAAAACTAATTTAATAATTTAATAAAATTAAAAATTATGGCACATTTACATAGAAAATAACTTTCATATATAGAAAATAATTATTTTAAAGACATTTTTGACACTGATTTAAATGAATTTCTAGAGTATTCCGATGAATTTCGTCGAAATAAAAATTAAATGAACTCATAAAAGAATTTTTTAGCCGGTAAATTTGTGTAATTATTTACTATTATTAATTTATTAAGAAAAAAAAACCTTTTTTTCTGCAAACTTAATCCTTAAATTAATTCGCAAATAATTTTATTATAAAAAAAGAATTCAATGAACCACTAAAAAGGTTTGATTCATGCATCAAATATATATGTATGTACTTTAGATAAAGTTTTTAAAGTCATTCTAAAATCAATTTTTTTTTTTTTTTGCTAATGAAGCTATGTAAATATATAATAATATTTTATAGTATATCTAGATATCATATAGGCTAATGTGCTTCTGATGTCGCAATTTTTGGCGGCACGTTCAAAAATTTTGCTTTACATGCAGTTCATTTACATGTACATGCGTACATTTTTAAATGCATTATGCATAAATGTTTTATTGAAATTCTGCAATTAATTACAGAAAAAAAGAACTCATCGAAATTTCATTTTGGCATGATTTGGAAAATCATAATAACACCCACCAGGAGGTGTCTGAATCCCATCCCACCTACCTTATACGCCTTTTTGAACATTTGAAAACTGCTTCAATTGTTAACTTTGACGTCTCATTTGCAAAAAAAAAAAAAATTGAAATAAAAATTTAATAAAAATGTCGAATGCACATAACTTGGATGAATGCTTCATTATTTCGTTTACTTCAATACTTGCGGCTTGCAACAATGCAATGCAGTACTGCAATAAATTGCATATTGAAGGAGGTGTAAACACATTTATCCTTTGGATTAATTAATTTCTTAATTAAAATCAAAGAAATGTAAATTGCTTGTCATTTGAAAGTCGCTTAACTGGCACTGACTTCATTTGCAATATTAAACAGTTGTGTTCTTCTGAGTTTAAATGGATTTATTAATAAGACCATCATTTTCGATTCCAGTATTGCTTTACTTAAATGGTTTAAAGAGTTGCTCATTCAATATTTTATATCACTTTAAAGTATCAAAATGTCTTCTATACTGGAATTTCGGAAATGAATAAAGCAATAAAATGGATATTTAGAAACGCAAATATTGATATTTTTGTATTTAGTCACGGTGCACTTAAATCCCTAAAATTGAAGTAAACGTAATGGAAATTTGTGCTGAGTTGTTAACAGTCTTTTAATTAGACAATTTAAGAACCTCACATTCACTTTATCTGAACACCAGGGTAGAGTAACACTTCAGATAACAATACTAATGATATGCTGTTCCTCTCCTTCTTTTTTCTATAATGATCACCTTATGCATATGGCAATATATTATTCTCGTAATTTAAAATTATAATAGAATAAGCATAAGCTTCCTAACTAAGGCTAATGGCGTTTTTGATTGGTAAATCTGGATTCAAACTAGATTTACTCTCGATTTGTTAAATGTTATTTATACTTTTAATAAATACATATGTCGAATCAAATCAATATAGTCATGCTACTCTAGTAAAATATCTAGAGTTTTATAAATTTTGCTTGAAAATCGAAAATGAAAGTTGCACTTAAAGTGAACCTTGATTGAAAAAGTTACCACAGATTTATTAATCGAAAACGGCATAAGTAAGGTTTAAGTAATCTCTTCATAAAATTCATATATACCAATATAGCTTATATGCATTAAATTTCAAAAATAAATTAACCACAACTGTTCCACAGTACTTGTTGTGAACTACATATTGTACTAAGAGTAAAAAAACAAAAATCCTTAGAGAAGATCATTTGTCCACAACACATATCATTTCCTGCGAAGCACTTCTGTGTTATTTAGCCTCAATGACCGCTTTTTGTCTCAACATTCTGCGCTTGTCAATCGAATACAAGGAATCGAATACAGAATTTTTGGCATTCTTATGTCAAAATATTTGTACAACATTTGTCATTTGAAGGACCAATGAACAATGTTCTCAGGATATAATATCACATTGTCAGACGTGTTGAGAAAGACTACCTGCTCAACTGCTCGTGTGCATTGCGCAATTTTCAATTATTTTTCCTTTTTGGATTTTAAGATATTTTCTCAAAATATAAATATATTCATATAGCATATGAATATAATTATGTGTATTATTCATATAAAATCTTTAATTTACATATTGTTTACTGCAAAAATGTTGCACTGATGATGCATCGTATAAAAAAGTTCGTTTCCAAATCCTAGGTCTATTTTACTTATTAAAAGAAAATATTATTTTATATAAATAATCAAAAATATATATCTTAGAAGATAACGAAGTCATATTTCATTTCGCTTTTATTATTTTGATAAATTTAATATAACACTCTCACAGGTCAATGAAGTGTATAAAACTATGAAAACTTAGATATATGTATGTGAAATATTGAATTTTTTAATAAATAAACACGCAAAAGTTTAACGATGATGAAATCAATGAAATAAGCAATAACACAATTATGACTCGTATGGTATAAGTATAACAACACTATCACTTAAATTAATATGTCATAGTATATAAAAAACTTTATTCTCATAATAATAATTGTTTGTAAAATATTGAAATATAAGTAATGATTTTTCGTTTGAGTATTAGAATAAATATAAGTAAAATATACATCCAACCATAAAGTGGATAAAAAAAAAACAAGTTATTTCCTATATTTGATTAAATGAATTAAAAATAAAACTACTGCAATAAAAATGAGAAAACGAGTTTCTATTTTAAAGTTTGCAGAAAATGATGGAAAAATCACACTTTTAATCATCATTACAAGTAATTTATACTTCTAGATCAGTAGAAATAAATAGAAATATCAAGTGAATTATTTTATTAGTTTAGGTTTTAATTAGACGGTATTTTAATTAAAAATAAAAATAAAATCGCTTATTGTGTATAAATTCTATAATCCCGAAAATGGTACTTACCAAGCCATCGCTGCCATTTACTTCGATAGCTGTTTTAAGCCTCTGCGATAATTGTTCTAATAATCTATCGTATTTTATATTTAGTGCATCGAGTCTATGGCTATAATACTGTGTTGCTCCTGGGTCACTGTCTGGTGGACGTAAGTCTCGTCGTGGTGGTGAGAAAGATGGACGTGCCTCTATAAGCCAATCCACAAAGCGTAGACATTTGGCGTCGTAAATCTTGATAATTGTTCAATTCTTCGCCAGAAAATTTCATTTGGTGCCGCTCGTCATTTACAATTTTAGAGTGAAATTTATCGATAATTTTGTGTTCATGTTGTTGACTATCCAATTCTTCTTTAACAGATGATAAATCTGATCCATAGTCGGCTGCAAGTATTTGTTTCTAAACGAGAAAATATGTCAAATTCATATATAAAAAAAAGTTTTATTATACTGATTATAAGTAAGTAAGTGAGTAAACTTTTATGACAAAGAAACAGAATCGGTCAGACCAATGTTTTATTATTCTTTCCTTATTATTGCTATTTTATTTTTATATAAATATTTGGAATATTAGATATTATAAGAATATATAATTGTATAAGAAAAATAATTTTAAATGCATTAGTGGAACTTAATTTTCCAATAAAAAAAAAAAAAAAATAAAATAAAAAAAAAAAAAATAAAAAAAAAAAAAAAAAAAAAAATAAAAAAAAAAAAAAAAAAATAAAAAAAAAAATAAAATAAAATAAAAAAAATAAAAAAATAAAAAAAAAAAAAAAAAAAATAAAAAAAAAAAAAATATAAAATAAAATCAATTAAATATTTCCTACTTCACTATATTTCATTTAAGAAGTTTTAAAACTCCATTGCACAAATTAAAAAATTTTTCATTTTTATTAAGGAGTGAAAAAATGCAATATAAAATAAAATAAAGTAACATTAAAAATAATGACAGTCTATCATGTGTTTTCATTGTTGCTCGCATCCCACATCACCATTTATGGGAGCACAAAACAGAAAAAAAAGCAACTGACAAGAAGACCAATGACAAAAAAGAACATTATTGTATGTACCAAAAGCAAAACACGAGAAAAAGAGACGTCACTTTCTTCCAGTGCTCGTTAGAATGGAATAGTCATTCGAATACAGAAACACCAAAAACATATGAAACGAATTGATAAAGGAAGCGCGCAAGCAGAACAGGCATAAGCAGCAACCGCATGGAAATATGAGCGACACACAACACACCTTTCTGTACCTTGTTTTTGTGTACAATTTGTTTTGTGCACAATCAACGTAAAATCTGCATAACAAAGAAAGACAGTAAAATATTTCCACATTCTTGAGTTTTGTCTTCAACTCCGTACTCTTTTTAATTTACTCTTTTGCGTACAAGCAGTGCGAGAATAGACAAGAAATTTGTGTGTTCTGCTATATATAATAAAATCACAAAATTTTAATTTTATTTTGGAATATAAAAACAATAATTATTGTTAAATAAACTCAAAAATTTATTTATGTTTTAACTATTTAAATATTTATCACACACAATTTTCAATTTTCGCTGAAAATTTTTCCGCACACTACAGATTGCGACCATATTGTTCAAACGCTGTAAACGTAATAAAACTGAAACACTGTGAAGTCGTGTATATAAATCAGTTTGTGTGATGCAATACAATCCACAATGTCGTATGCTCTTCTCACCAATTGTTTAGTATAGTAACTGTATGATTTGTATGTGTTCCTTCTCTTTCGAATAACAAATAAAATGTTATGCAGAAGTTTTACAGTTTATAAAACTGCACAATGAATGTGGATTGTGGAAATGCACTTTAATTGATATATTTTTCGGCTTATTAGTTTTTTTAAATATTTAAATTTTATATAACATGTATAAATATAAATTATTTAAATTATTTAAATTATTTAAATTATTTAAATAATTTTTTTACAATTTTATGAATTAAATCATTTTTAATTGCAGTTTATTAATATACGTAAATAGTAAAACCCGCAAAGCAGGAAAATGAATTTTTACTTAATAAAATTCAATTAACTCAAAAATATATTATATATTAATTATATATCAGCAAAACTAATGTAATAATTTAATAAAATTAAAAATTATAGCAATTTACATAGAAAATAACTTTCATATATAGAAAATAATTATTTTAAAGACATTTTTGACACTGATTTAAATGAATTTCTAGAGTATTCCGATGAATTTCGTCGAAATAAAAATTAAATGAACTCATAAAAGAATTTTTTAGCCGGTAAATTTGTGTAATTATTTACTATTATTAATTTATTAAGAAAAAAAAATCTTTTTTTCTGCAAACTTAATCCTTAAATTAATTCGCAAATAATTTTATTATAAAAAAAGAATTCAATGAACCACTAAAAAGGTTTGATTCATGCATCAAATATATATGTATGTACTTTAGATAAAGTTTTTAAAGTCATTCTAAAATCAATTTTTTTTTTTTTTGCTAATGAAGCTATGTAAATATATAATAATATTTTATAGTATATCTAGATATCATATAGGCTAAGCGAATGTGCTTCTGATGTCGCAATTTTTGGCTGCACGTTCAAAAATTTTGCTTTACATGCAGTTCATTTACATGTACATGCGTACATTTTTAAATGCATTGGATTTCAATAATTTACTGCAGGCTTTTAGTTAACAAAGCATATAAGTTTTGATTTATTTTGTTTGAGGTAGCTCTGAAATTAACAAATAATAATTTAAGATTCAAAATAGTAATTCTTTGAGGAAATTGGCTACTTCTGCTAACAGAAAGGGAAGATAAAAAGAAAATTTGCAAACATCGCTTGCACAACAAATTAAACAAACTAACAAACACACCATATGTGTGTAGTGTGTAGTGCACGGCCTCAAAAACAAATAACTTGACTTCCAAGACGGTGTGGCCGCCTAAAATATTTATGTTCTATTCTGTGCAAACCAAACAACAGCAAAAACGAAAATCGAAAAACTATATAAAAAAGTTGTTAAATAGAGAAAGAAGGAATAACAGAAACTGAACCGTTTGCTTGCAGTGAGAGAGCAGAGCAAGTGATTTTTGATCAAATTCACATACGAATAAGAGTAAAATGACAAGTGCAAAAAACTGCCGCGCAAAATTTATTTGCATAAAATATTTTTTGTTATATATTTGTTAAGGGGCAAATATATATTATAAGCTTATATATATTTAGTTTATTATAATTGTTTAAAAAAAAATTTGTAATATAAATTACAAATTTTTTATAAATTAATTTATTAGCGAATATATTGTTTTTCGCCCTTTCTCTTTCTCTGTTCCTTCTCTCGTAGTCAGACAACTCTCGCATACACACATCCATTTTCGTTTGGCGCTTCTTGAAATGAAGCAAAGTAAATTTCCAAAGCGAGAATTGAGATTAATATGTCCTCAAGTTTTCCTTTGATTGCAATGCATTCTTCTGTGAAGATTCGGCTAACTTGTTTGCTTTCCTCTAAAAAGTATAATAAAATATTTGAATACGTTTTAAATCTGTAAAATTAAATTTAAGCTAAAATTATTTATTTAGTACCACGAGTTCTACGGCTGGCAAATAATTTCTTCATCACAAACGATACAGAAATAGTTTTAATAAGACACTACTGAAGAGAATACTATTTTCGTACTAAACAAATTTATGTATTCAATCTAACATCAAGTAAAAAATTTACACTTAAATTTAATTGAAATTAAGATCGTATGACAGTTATTTGATAAAATGTTTTTATAATTGGTGAATATACCCCCGCCTACGAAAAAATAAAAATAAACTAATTTAATTAAATTAATTTACCTTCAGCTCTAGCGCGTTTTTCAAATTCGTCAAATAAACGATTTACTTCATCCATTTCACGGCGTAAACGTCTTAATTGTGGATCATTTGGATCACCCTCACTTAAAAGTTTATCTGCGTCATCATTGAGTGCACGCCGTATCGCTGTACGCTGTTCTGGACCCACTGCAAGAAATTGGTCACAGAACGATCGAATAACCGTTTAAGTCGTTCAGCTGCATCAATTGCCTCTTGGTCAGGAGGAGGCATTAATAAGCAAGCACTAGGAATTGAACCCTCTTGTCCTATTGAATTACAAATTCTCCATTTAACTCGACTAGAGTTATCGAGCAAGATACAAGTTTCTCCCTTTTCAATTTGTAGTTGACCTTGCTGCTTATAAGCACATATTGCTTGTACAGAGCATTGATTATTTACCGGTTGTCGTCTTTTATATAGTGGAACAATTGTTTGAGCCCGATGGGTCAAATTAGCAACAGTTTCACTAAAAGCATTCAATTCTTCACGTAAATCCTGCATACCACGTAATAAAGCTTCACCTTGATCAAGACCAAAATCCGATTGAGAATATTTGCTATTTAAAATGTCATCACGCTTCACGAGCCATTGCTCGGCATCTTTTATTTCAGCAAAAAATTGATGATATTCGGTAGCATGCTTTAAGTGGACTTCAAGACACAGCGTCAACTGAAGCAGCCAAGCCCATTGTTGTTGTAGTACGGCAACCCTCTCAGAGTCCCGGGACAGTTGCTGACAGAAGTCAAAATCAAACCAAGCGAAACAGACTTCGTAAAGTTACTGCGCAGAAACTTAGGTAATGTACGAACTCAACCTGGACTGCGACACGGTCAACAACCAGTCTTAGTACCCAGCGAGCTGTCAGAGAGCAAGTATGTATTCCTACGCATCGATCGCGTTCCGACACCGTTAGAACAACTTTACGAGGGCCCTTATTAGATTATTTATTATTATGAAATTTAAATCAATAAAACAAATCCATAAAGAAAGTGTGTGAATTTTATGTTAAATTGAGTGTCAAATTTGATCAAGTGAATATTTTTTTATACAATATTAAATTTAACCGACACGAGCACCACTCAATATGGTAAATGCAACAAAAATTTTTTAAATCGTGAATAACATTAAATAGCAATGCAAAAAATTTACAATATTTTTTTCAATGTTACAACAAAACTTTATAGACAATGTACGGTAATTACGCGTACTCGTTCTCGTATTCGTACAACAGAAATTATTTTCAAATAATTCCTTATGCAAATCATGCAAAATTGTTATATTATTCTGTTTAATGAATTATTATTATTTAGACATATTGAATTAATTGCTGCAAGTTAATTGCTACACTCATTAAATTTGATGAATGTTACCAATATATGAATGAGCTACAATTCAGTTTGAGCAATGAAGCGTAAACGAAACATTGGACCACTAATTTTAAACAGCAAAAAACACAAGTGCAAAAAAAGATTTAATGAAATAAGTGTTATTTAACACTTACTTTGTGCTCAATGGTCGTTTGTAGATTCTTATCCAAATGCACCT